CCCTCTGTTGATGACACCCCCTGTTGAATACACCACCTGTTGATGACACCACCTGTTGATGACACCACCTGTTGATGACACTGTTGATGACACCACCTGTTGATGACACCACCTGTTGATGACACTACCTGTTGATGACACTACCTGTTGATGACACTACCTGTTGATGACACCACCTGTTGATGACACTGTTGATGACACCACCTGTTGATGACACCACCTGTTGATGACACCACCTGTTGATGACACCACCTGTTGATGACACCACCTGTTGATGACACTACCTGTTGATGACACTACCTGTTGATGACACTACCTGTTGATGACACCACCTGTTGATGACACCACCTGTTGATGACACCACCTGTTGATGACACTACCTGTTGATGACACCACCTGTTGATGACACCACCTGTTGATGACACCACCTGTTGATGACACCACCTGTTGATGACACCACCTGTTGATGACACTACCTGTTGATGACACCAGCTGTTGATGACACTACCTGTTGATGACACCACCTGTTGATGACACTACCTGTTGATGACACCACCTGTTGATGACACTACCTGTTGATGACACCACCTGTTGATGACACTACCTGTTGATGACACCACCTGTTGATGACACTACCTGTTGATGACACCTGTTGATGACACCTGTTGATGACACTACCTGTTGATGACACACCTGTTGATGACACCACCTGTTGATGACACCACCTGTTGATGACACTACCTGTTGATGACACCACCTGTTGATGACACTACCTGTTGATGACACTACCTGTTGATGACACTACCTGTTGATGACACCACCTGTTGATGACACTACCTGTTGATGACACCACCTGTTGATGACACTGTTGATGACACCACCTGTTGATGACACCACCTGTTGATGACACCACCTGTTGATGACACTGTTGATGACACCACCTGTTGATGACACTACCTGTTGATGACACTACCTGTTGATGACACTACCTGTTGATGACACCACCTGTTGATGACATACCTGTTGATGACACCACCTGTTGATGACACCACCTGTTGATGACACCACCTGTTGATGACACCACCTGTTGATGACACCACACTGTTGATGACACCACCTGTTGATGACACCACCTGTTGATGACACCACCTGTTGATGACACCACCTGTTGATGACACCACCTGTTGATGACACCACCTGTTGATGACACTACCTGTTGATGACACTACCTGTTGATGACACCACCTGTTGATGACACTACCTGTTGATGACACCATCTGTTGATGACACTACCTGTTGATGACACTACCGGTTGATGACACTACCTGTTGATGACACTACCTGTTGATGACACCACCTGTTGATGACACCACCTGTTGATGACACCACCTGTTGATGACACTACCTGTTGATGACACTACCTGTTGATGACACCAGCTGTTGATGACACTACCTGTTGATGACACCACCTGTTGATGACACTACCTGTTGATGACACCACCTGTTGATGACACTACCTGTTGATGACACTACCTGTTGATGACACTACCTGTTGATGACACTACCTGTTGATGACACTACCTGTTGATGACACCACCTGTTGATGACACCACCGGTTGATGACACTACCGGTTGATGACACTACCTGTTGATGACACCACCTGTTGATGACACCACCTGTTGATGACACCACCTGTTGATGACACCACCTGTTGATGACACCACCTGTTGATGACACCACCTGTTGATGACACCTACCTGTTGATGACACTACCGGTTGATGACATGTTACCTGTTGATGACACTACCTGTTGATGACACTACCTGTTGATGACACATATCTGTTGATGACACACACCGTGTCGTCCTTTGATGACACAAACCTGTTGATGACACTACCTGTTGATGACAGACTGTTGATGACACTACCTGTTGATGACAAACCTGTTGATGACAGCAGAAAATAACATGATGTTTAACAGTGATAAATTTCAGGTACTCAGGTACGGCAAAAATGAGAACATTAAACATAATACAGAGTACAAAACACAATCGAATCTGCCCATAGTAGGAAAACAGCATGTCAAGGATTTGGGAATAATGATGTCCGACGATCTAACGTTTAGGGAGCATCAAGCAAATATCGCGTCAGCCAGAAAAATGATCGGATGGATTACGAGAACTTTCAAATCCAGGGATCCCATCACAATGGTTGTACTCTTCAAGTCACCCCGTCTGTTGATGACACTTCCCCCTTCAGAGCAGGAGAGATTGCTGTTGATGAACATATACGGCACGCATAGACGAGATAAAACCCTCTGTTGATTACACCCTCTGTTGATGACACCCTCTGTTGATGACACCACCTGTTGATGACACCACCTGTTGTTGACACCACATGTTGATGACACCATCTGTTGATGACACCATCTGTTGATGACACCATCTGTTGATGACACCATCTGTTGATGACACCAGCCGTTGATGACACCACCTGTTGATGACACTGTTGATGACACCACCTGTTGATGACACCACCTGTTGATGACACCATCTGTTGATGACACCATCTGTTGATGACACCATCTGTTGATGACACCACCTGTTGATGACACCACCTGTTGATGACACCACCTGTTGATGACACCACCTGTTGATGACACCACCTGTTGATGACACCCTCTGTTGATGACACCACCTGTTGATGACACCACCTGTTGATGACACCATCTGTTGATGACACCAGCTGTTGATGACACCACCTGTTGATGACACCATCTGTTGATGACACCACCTGTTGATGACACCACCTGTTGGTGACACCACCTGTTGATGACACCACCTGTTGATGACACCACCTGTTGATGACACCACCTGTTGACACTACCTGTTGATGACACCACCTGTTGATGACACTACCTGTTGATGACACTGTTGATGACACCACCTGTTGATGACACCACCTGTTGATGACACCACCTGTTGATGACACCACCTGTTGATGACACCACCTGTTGATGACACCACCTGTTGATGACACTATCTGTTGATGACACTACCTGTTGATGACACTATCTGTTGATGACACTACCTGTTGATGACACTACTTGTTGATGACACTACCTGTTGATGACACCACCTGTTGATGACACCACCTGTTGATGACACTACCTGTTGATGACACTATCTGTTGATGACCACCTGTTGATGACACTACCTGTTGATGACACTACCTGTTGATGACACCACCTGTTGATGACACCACCTGTTGGTGACACCACCTGTTGATGACACTACCTGTTGATGACACCACCTGTTGATGACACTACCTGTTGATGCTCCAGCTTGTTGCAACACTCACTAGGGTTGTTAGGGTGATAACTAGGGTGATAACTAGGGCTGTTAGGGTGATAACTAGGGCTGTTAGGGTGATAACTAGGGTTGTTAGGTGATAACTAGGGTTGTTAGGGTGATAACTAGGGTTGTTAGGGTGATAACTAGGGTTGTTAGGTGATAACTAGGGCTGTTAGGGTGATAACTGTGGCTGTTAGGGTGATAACTACGGTTGTTAGGTGATAACTAGGGCTGTTAGGGTGATAACTGTCTCTGTTAGGGTGATAACTTTGGTTGTTAGGTGATAACTAGGGCTGTTAGGGTGATAACTAGGGTTGTAGTGGTGATAACTAGGGCTGTTGGGGTGATAACTAGGGTTGTTAGGGTGATAACTAGAGCTGTTAGGTGATAACTAGAGCTGTTAGGGTGATAACTAGGGTTGTTAGGGTGATAACTAGAGCTGTTAGATGATAACTAGAGCTGTTAGGGTGACAACTAGGGCTGTTAGGTGATAACTAGGGCTGTTAGGGTGATAACTAGGGTTGTTAGGGTGATAACTAGAGCTGTTAGATGATAACTAGAGCTGTTAGGGTGATAACTAGGGCTGTTAGGGTGATAACTAGGGTTGTTAGGTGATAACTAGGGCTGTTAGGGTGATAACTAGGGTTGTTAGGGTGATAACTAGAGCTGTTAGGTGATAACTAGAGCTGTTAGGTGATAACTAGAGCTGTAAGGGTGATAACTAGGGCTGTTAGGGTGATAACTAGGGTTGTTAGGTGATAACTAGAGCTGTTAGGTGATAACTAGAGCTGTAAGGGTGATAACTAGGGTTGTTAGGGTGATAACTAGAGCTGTTAGGTGATAACTAGAGCTGTTAGGGTGATAACTAGGGCTGTTAGGGTGATAACTATGGTTGTTAGGGTGATAACTAGTGTTGTGAGGGTGATAACTAGGGTTGTAAGGGTGATAACTAGGGTTGTTAGGTGACAACTATGGTTGTTAGGTGATAACTAATGTTGTTAGGGTGATAAGTATGGTTGTTAGGTGATAACTGTGGTTGTTAGGGTGATAACTGTGGTTGTTAGGGTGATAACTATGGTTGTTAGGGTGATAACTGTGGTTGCTAGGTGATAACTATGGTTGTTAGGGTGATAACTATGGTTGTTAGGTGATAACTGTGGTTGTTAGGGTGATAACTAGGGTTGTTAGGGTGATAACTGTGGTTGTAGGGTGATAACTGTGGTTGTTAGGGTGATAACTGTGGTTGTTAGGGTGATAACTAGTGTTGTGAGGGTGATAACTAGGGTTGTAAGGGTGATAACTAGGGTTGTTAGGTGACAACTATGGTTGTTAGGTGATAACTATTGTTGTTAGGGTGATAAGTATGGTTGTTAGGTGATAACTGTGGTTGTTAGGGTGATAACTATGGTTGTTAGGGTGATAACTGTGGTTGTTAGGGTGATAACTATGGTTGTTAGGTGATAACTATGGTTGTTAGGGTGATAAATAGGGTTGAGGGTGATAACTAGGGTTGTTAGGGTGATAACTAGGGTTGTTAGGGTGATAACTAAGGTTGTTAGGGTGATAACTAGGGTTGTTAGGGGTGATAACTAGGGCTGTTAGGGTGATAACTAGGGTTGTTAGGTGATAACCACACCCGCTGGTAGTGGCGTCGTTGTCCTCGTCGTCGTCGTCGTCACCGACGTCGTCGTCACCGACGTCGTCGTCACCGTCGTCGTCGTCACCGTCGTCGTCGTCGTTGTCCTCGTCGTCGTCGTCACCGTCGTCCCCGTCACCGTCGTCGTCACCGTCCCCGTCGTCGTCGTCACCGTCCCCGTCGTCGTCGTCACCGTCACCGTCGTCGTCGTCACCGTCGTCACCGTCGTCGTCGTCACCGTCCCCGTCGTCGTCGTCACCGTCGTCACCGTCCCCGTCACCGTCGTCGTCGTCACCGTCGTCGTCACCGTCCCCGTCGTCGTCACCGTCACCGTCGTCGTCGTCACCGTCGTCGTCGTCACCGTCACCGTCCCCGTCGTCGTCCCCGTCACCGTCACCGTCCCCGTCACCGTCGTCACCGTCGTCGTCCCCGTCACCGTCGTCACCGTCCCCGTCGTCGTCCCCGTCACCGTCACCGTCCCCGTCACCGTCGTCACCGTCGTCGTCCCCGTCACCGTCGTCGTCACCGTCACCGTCCCCGTCATCACCGTCACCGTCATCACCGTCACCGTCGTCACCGTCACCGTCCCCGTCGTCACCGTCACCGTCGTCACCGTCACCGTCGTCGTCGTCACCGTCACCGTCGTCGTCACTTTCCCCGTCACCGTCGTCGTTGTCACCGTCGTCGTCACCGTCGTCGTTGTCACCGTCGTCCCCGTCGTCGTCGTCACCGTCACCGTCGTCCCCGTCACCGTCGTCGTCGTCCCCGTCCCCGTCGTCGTCCCCGTCACCGTCGTCGTCACCGTCCCCGTCGTCGTCACCGTCGTCCCCGTCCCCGTCGTCGTCACCGTCGTCGTCACCGTCGTCACCATCGTCACCGTCACCGTCACCCCTGTCACCGTCGTCACCGTCACCGTCGTCGTCGTCACCGTCGTCGTCCCCGTCACCGTCGTCGTCGTCACCGTCGTCGTCCCCGTCCCCGTCCCCGTCACCGTCGTCGTCACCGTCACCGTCGTCGTCGTCACCATCGTCACCGTCACCGTCGTCCCTGTCACCGTCGTCGTCGTCACCGTCGTCGTCCCCGTCACCGTCGTCACCGTCCCCGTCGTCGTCACCGTCACCGTCACCGTCCCCGTCACCGTCACCGTCGTCGTCACCGTCGTCGTCACCTTCACCGTCGTCCACAACAACTCAGCGGGACACTTACCTTTAGACATAGACATTTAGACATTTAGACTTTATTGTTCAGCTCCAAATTTGTTGGCTCTTGTGCCTCCTGGCTCTTTTGTCCCTCAAGCGTGGGTTTTGTCCCTCAAGCGGGGGTTTTGTCCCCTCAAGCGGGGGTTTTGTCCCTCAAGCGGGGGTTTTGTCCCCTCAAGCGGGGGTTTTGTCCCTCAAGCGGGGGTTTTGTCCCTCAAGCGGGGGTTTTGTCCCTCAAGCGGGGGTTTTGTCCCCTCAAGCGGGGGTTTTGCCCCCTCAAGCGTGGGTTTTGTCCCCTCAAGCGTGGGTTTTGTCCCGTCTCAAGCGTAGGTTTTGTCCCCTCAAGCGTGGGTTTTGTCCCCTCAAGCGGAGGTTTTCTCCCCTCAAGCGGGGGTTTTGTCCCCTCAAGCGTGGGTTTTGTCCCCTCAAGCGTGGGTTTAGTCCCCTCAAGCGTGGGTTTTGTCCCCTCAAGCGTGGGTTTTGTCCCCTCAAGCGGGGGTTTTGTCCCCTCAAGCGGGGGTTTTGCCCCCTCAAGCGGGGGTTTTGCCCCCTCAAGCGTGGGTTTTCCCCCCTCAAGCGTGGGTTTTTCCCCCCTCAAGCGTGGGTTTTGTCCCCCCTCAAGCGTGGGTTTTGTCCCCCCTCAAGCGTGGGTTTTGTCCCCCCTCAAGCGTGGGTTTTGTCCCCCCTCAAGCGTGGGTTTTGTCCCCCCTCAAGCGTGGGTTTTGTCCCCCCTCAAGCGTGGGTTTTGTCCCCTCAAGCGGGGGTTTTGCCCCCCCTCAAGCGTGAGTTTTGTCCCCTCAAGCGTGGGTTTGTCCCCTCAAGCGTGGGTTTCGTCCCCTCAAGCGGGGGTTTGTCCCCTCAAGCGTGGGTTTTGTCCCCCCTCAAGCGGGGGTTTTGTCCCCTCAAGCGTGGGTATTGTCCACTCAAGCGGGGGTTTTGTCCCCTCAAGCGTGGGTTTTGTTCCCTCAAGCGTGGGTTTTGTTCCCCTCAAGCGTGGGTTTTGTTCCCCTCAAGCGTGGGTTTTGTCCCCTCAAGCGTGGGTTTTGTCTCCCCTCAAGCGTGGGTTTTGTCCCCCCTCAAGCGTAGGTTTTGTCCCCCCTCAAGCGTGGGTTTTGTCCCCCCTCAAGCGTGGGTTTTGTCCCCCCTCAAGCGTGGGTTTTGTCCCCTCAAGCGTGGGTTTTGTCCCCTCAAGCGTGGGTTTTGTCCCCTCAAGCGGGGGTTTTGTCCCCTCAAGCGTGGGTTTTGTCCTCTCAAGCGTGGGTTTTGTCCCCTCATGCGGGGGTTTTGTCCCCTCAAGCGTGGGTTGTCCCCTCAAGCGTGGATTTTGCCCCCTCAGGCGTGGGTTGTGTCCCCTCAAACGGGGGTTTTGTCCCCTCAAATGTGGGTTTTGACCCCTCAAGCGTGGGTTTTGTCCCCTCAAGCGTGGGTTTTTTCCCCTCATGCGTGGGTTTTTTCCCCTCAAGCGGGGGTTTTGTCCCCTCAAGCGTGGGTTTGTCCCCTCAAGCGGGGTTTTTGCCCCCTTAAGCGTGGGTTTCGTCCCCTCAAGCGTGGGTTTTGTCCCCTCAAGCGTGGGTTTGTCCCCTCAAGCGTGGATTTTGTCCCCTCAAGCGTGGGTTTGTCCCCTCAAGCGGGGTTTTGTCCCCTCAAGCGTGGATTTTGTCCCCTCAAGCGTGGGTTTGTCCCCTCAAGCGGGGGTTTTGTCCCCTCAAGCGTGGGTTTTGTCCCCTCAAGCGTGGGTTAGCCCCCTCAAGCGTGGGTTAACCCCCGTCATGACCTGATGCTCAGCAGCATCACTGGGACTCCATATCCTGGCCAGAATCAATACTTGTCTTGGGGTAAAGTAAAACAGCAAAAATCCTCCAGTTTACTGAGCCATACAACACAGGTCAGCGTAAAACAATAAGGAAAGACTACAGTTGTCTATAATAATGTTACATTAATCCGTTTCTTTAAGTTCTTCAAGATCATCAAGACAATAACCAGACACAATGCCACATAAAGCAAGAGCGGGACGTGACACGTCCACCCGTCTGGGAAGACACAGGTCTACTGACGCCTCAGAGGCCGGCGGACCGCTCTACACACTACTGCCAAGTCGACAAGTCAACCGTCGCTCATCCTTCAAATCTCACAAACTTATATCAAACTATTTACCAATCAATCACCCCTAAATCACACAGTACTGAATAAGTATTTATATATTCAACCATACATGAGTATACACAGTCACTGATTCAATACCTAAGAGTATCATGATGATTTAAAATATTCAGAGAATTCATATCTACAGGACATGGCAACACTGCCGGAGACGGTTAGCCAAGGGAGAATTTCAAACACGTTAACGGTCAACCGTTAATACATAAGTATACATGAATATAAGTGTGCATTACATACCAACATAATTACCAAGACCTTTGTGGTGTAAATCTCACATTACCAGAATATCAGTTAACAAGAACTAATACATTGAACAGTAATGAAATTGACATATCACACCATACATGCTAATCATACATCATATACCTACATGTATACATTCAACATCTATAATACACATACCATATCATGTATAACAATACATAGCATTTCATACCATAGAAACATAATGATATTTTGCAGCATAGAAGATATTAGGCTTCTAAAAATCAACTTTACAATATATTTGCCTCGTTTTGAGTGAAGAATTATATATAAACTTGATAATGTGGTCTCGCTAGGCTGTATATGTATATTATATACATGGGCCTAAGACCTATCAACCTCTGGAGGGTTATTAAGACCACCACAACACCTTACTGACCAACCAGCAAGTTTGGTGTTGGACTTAAGACCTAAACTACCACACAACTCTGACCACTGCATATATATAAAATATATTATATATTTTATATTATATATAATATATATATTATATATATAAATATATAAAACGCTATATAGATCTATAACAAGTGTTATAAAGCATTTTATAACCAAAACCCACTTGGCCAAGTTCCTCCACTATTGCCAACACAAACCAGGCATGCCAGGGGCCAGATTCACGAAGCTGTTACGCAAGCACTTACGAACCTGGGGCCAGATTCACGAAGCTGTTACGCAAGCACTTACGAACCTGGGGTCAGATTCACGAAGCTGTTATGCAAGCACTTACGAACCTGGGGCCAGATTCACGAAACAGTAACGCAAGCACTTACGAACCAGGGCCCAGATTTACGAAGCAGTTACGCAAGCACTTACGAACATGTACATCTTTCCTCAATCTTTGACGGCTTTGGTTACATTTATTAAACAGTTTACAAGCATGAAAACTTGTCAATCAACTGTTGTTATTGTTATAAACAGCCTCCTGGTGCTTCGGAGCTCATTAACTGTTTAATAATTGTAAACAAAGCCGCCAAAGATTGAGAAAAGATGTACAGGTACGTAAGTGCTTGCGTAACTGCTTCGTGAATCTGGCCCCAGGTTCGTAAGTGCTTCGTGAATCTGGCCCCAGGTTCGTAACAGCTTCGTGAAGCTGGCCGCAGGTTCGTAACAGCTTCGTGAAGCTGGCCGCAGGTTCGTAACAGCTTTGTAATCTGGCCCCAGGTTCGTACGTGCTTGCGTAACTGCTTCGTGAAGCTGGCCCCAGGTCCGTAACAGCTTCGTGAAGCTGACCCCAGGTCCGTAATAGCTTCGTGAAGCTGGCCCCAGGTTCGTAACAGCTTCGTGAAGCTGGCCGCAGGTTCGTAAGTGCTTCGTGAAGCTGGCCCCAGGTTCGTAACAGCTTCGTGAAGCTGGCCCCAGGTTCGTAACAGGTTCGTGAAGCTGGCCCCAGGTTCGTAACAGGTTCGTGAAGCTGGTCCCAGGTTCGTGAAGCTGGCCCCAGGTTCATAAGAGCTTCGTGAAGCTGGCCCCAGGTTCGTAAGTGCTTCGTGAAGCTGGCCCCAGGTTCATAACAGCTCCGTGAAGCTGGCCCCAGGTTCGTAACAGCTCCGTGAAGCTGGCCGCAGGTTCGTAACAGCTCCGTGAAGCTGGCCCCAGGTTCGTAAGAGCTTCGTGAAACTGGTCCCAGGTTCGTATAAGACCTTCGTGAAGCTGGCCCCAGGTTCGTAACAGCTCCGTGAAACTGGCCCCAGGTTCGTAACAGCTCCGTGAAGCTGGCCCCAGGTTCGTAACAGCTCCGTGAAACTGGCCCCAGGTTCGTAACAGCTTCGTGAAGCTGGCCCCAGGTTCGTAACAGCTCCGTGAAGCTGGCCCCAGGTTCGTAACAGCTCCGTGAAGCTGGCCCCAGGTTCGTAACAGCTTCGTGAAGCTAGCCTCAGGTTTGTACGTGCTTGTGTAACAGCTCCGTGAAGCTGGCCGCAGGTTCGTAACAGCTCCGTGATGCTGGCCCCAGGTTCGTAAGAGCTTCGTGAAGCTGGCCCCAGGTTCGTAACAGCTCCGTGAAACTGGCCCCAGGTTCGTAACAGCTCCGTGAAGCTGGCCCCAGGTTCGTAACAGCTCCGTGAAGCTGGCCCCAGGTTCGTAACAGCTCCGTGAAACTGGCCCCAGGTTCGTAACAGCTCCGTGAAACTGGCCCCAGGTTCGTAACAGCTCCGTGAAACTGGCCCCAGGTTCGTAACAGCTCCGTGAAACTGGCCCCAGGTTCGTAACAGCTCCGTGAAGCTGGCCCCAGGTTCGTAACAGCTCCGTGAAGCTGGCCCCAGGTTCGTAACAGCTCCGTGAAGCTGGCCCCAGGTTCGTAACAGCTCCGTGAAGCTGGCCCCAGGTTCGTAACAGCTCCGTGAAACTGGCCCCAGGTTCGTAACAGCTCCGTGAAACTGGCCCCAGGTTCGTAACAGCTCCGTGAAACTGGCCCCAGGTTCGTAACAGCTCCGTGAAACTGGCCCCAGGTTCGTAACAGCTTCGTGAAGCTGGCCCCAGGTTCGTAACAGCTCCGTGAAACTGGCCCCAGGTTCGTAACAGCTCCGTGAAACTGGCCCCAGGTTCGTAAGACCTTCGTGAAACTGGCCCCAGGTTCGTAACAGCTCC